GGGGGAGCATACAGTAGCTGACCGTATGCAGGAGATGGATAGGGGAGGTGACTGGTGGCACATAGAGCATAGAGAGAAATGCACGGTCCTCTATGTGCTGCCCGGACCCCTCTCCAGCCGGCTCCATGGCTGACAGGTTCTCTGTCTCCTCACACATCCTCGCCGCCGAGCACACACACAAACCCGCCTGAGCACGCCCTCCTGGCCAAGCACAGCCCTTTGCAGCGACAGCACTGGTCCCTTCTGCCTAGGGGCGGTGCTGCCCCCCTGAAAAGTGCCGCCCAAGGCAGATGCCTTGTTTGCCTCGCGGCAGATACGCCCCTGCCCCCCCCCCCCCACAGTAGTACAATGTTACTATGGTGATCGTGAACAGAACTATACTAGTGCCTCCTTAGTATAGTGTCCCCAAAAACACAGTGTTAACAGGATCGGTCCGGTTCGCTGCCATCACTAGCGTTTAGCCCCTCCATTGTTCTTCATGTTAGATTTGTATCAATTGATTGTGGGCCAAAGCAATTACAACAATACATGGCCGCCCACCCAAATTCAGCTCTTGCCAGACAATTCACATGGAAACCTATCATGGTTTCTGAATTTAAAACTTTTTTGGGCCAAACCCTCAACATGGACATTACAGAAAAGAATGAATTGAGGTCATATTGGTCCACAGAACCGATTCATCATATGCTCGTGTTCTCTGCTGTTACATATATGCCTAACATGGACCAGCAATGTACTGTTTGTACTATCCTAGCATTTTAGGGCTTCCAAAACTGTGATAGGTAGTGGGGAAGTGATATGAGGAAATATGCCCTTTGAAAGCCTGGAGGTTGTCATTGGATTTTGGAGGTCTCTATGTTGCCAAAAAGTCTCTCACGTGTGCAGGGGCTTATCTGCCACGAGGCAAACAAGGCGTTTGCCTAGGGCGGCAGTTTACAGGGGGGTGGCATGCCCCCCAGGCAGAAGGGACACTGTGTGCGTCAGCGGCAGGGCTGCCATGGCTGAGGTTACAGAAGACACACAAGGAGGATCACCCGGGCCAAGGAAATGGCTGCAGAGGAGAGCGGAGTGGTGGGCGGATCCCCGGTGTGCACTGGGAGTGCGTGAAGGCTGGGGCCTGCTGTCAGTGTGTGCCGGGTTGTGCAGGAAGGCCAGAAGGTGCCAGCGGAGGAGGAAGAAGAAGAGGACGAGGTCAGGGTGGAGGAGCCCCCCGCTCTTTTGCAGCCGCCACAGGAGATCCTGGGGGGAGATGGGACACAGGCACCCCTCCTGGAGTGATCCTAACACACACCATCTGGAGGAGCCCCTGCTGGACAGGTAAGTGCTTGGAGGACTGGTGCTTCCCCACTCCTGTCTCACTGTCACCCACGATACACTGCCCCCACCTGTCCAACTTCACCCTCCTGTCCCCCACATTGTCCCAGTACCCCCCACCTGTCCCTCTGCGCTCCTCCTGTCCCTCTGTGCTCCTTCTCCTGTCCCAATGCCCCTCCTGTCCCTGTATTTCATCTCTCATGACCCCTATTGTTAGACATCATGGGGCCCTCTACAGCTTACCTGGTCGGACCCCCTTTGACCCTACTCTTGACCAAACTTATGGCCTCGCCCCTGACCCCTCCCCTGGTACCGCTTCAAAACAAAATACATCTTTGAATTCAAGTGATAATATTAAGTAATAGCACAAAACATTATTATTATTATACAGGATTTATATAGTGCCAACAGTTCTTAGTACTTTACAACATAAAGGGAGACAATACAGCAATGATACAGTTCAATACAAGAGGGTTAGGAGGGCCCTGCTCCTTGGAGCTTACAATCTAAGAGGGAGGGGCTGGCGGTACAAAAGGTAATAACTGAGGGGGATGAACTGATAGGAGAATTAGAAGATTCAGTTTTTAGCTGAAGGCAGGCTAGGCTTCCCTGAAGAAAGAGGTTTTCAGAGATCGCCTAGTAGTGGGCAGAGTAGGCGATAGTCAGATAGATTGGGGTAGAGAGTTCCAAAGGATGGGGGAGGCTCTGGAGAAGTCATGGAGATGAACATGGGAGAAGAAGACAAGAGAGCTAGAGAGCAGGAGATTGTGGGAGGAGCAGAGAGGACGGTTTGGGTGATATTTAGAGACGAGATTGGTGATGTCATTTGGGGCAAAGTTATAAATGGCTTTATATGTTATGGTTAATGTTTTGAATTTTATTCGTTGGGCAATGGGAAGCCAGTGGAGGGACTGGCAGAGAGGGATGGAAGATATGGAACTGTTAGTAAGGGGGATGAGTCTGGCAGCAGCATTCATGATAGACTGAAGAGGGGATAGCCTGTGATCAAGTAGGCCAATGAGGAGGGAGTTACAATAGTCAAGGCAAGAGATAACAAGGGAGTGAATAGGTTGCTTAGTGGTTTCAGAGGTTAAAAATGGGCGTATTTTGGAGATGTTGCGGAGGTGAAGTCTACAAGATTTGGACAGTGATTGGATTTGAGGCTGAAAGGACAGATGGGAGTCTAGGATTACACCTATTACCCTGGCATGAGGGGAGGGACTGATGGTTGTATTATTGATCTTGATGGAGAAGTCAGGGGAGGGGCCACGGGCTGGAGGGAATAGTATGAGCTCCGTTTTGTAAAGATTTAGTTTGAGGAAGTGGAGTGACATCCATGCTGATATGTCACTTAGTAGGTTAGTAATGCGAGAGAAGATTGAAGGGATGAGGTGAGGAGTAGAAAGATAGATTTGTGTGCCATCAGCATAGAGATGGTACTTAACTGCTAGCCTACAGGGCATATACCCCCTTCCTGCCCAGGCCAATTTCCAGCTTTCAGCGTTGTTGCAATTTGAATGAAAATTGCGCAGTCATGCAACATTGTACCCATATGAAATTTTTATCATTTTTTGTGACAGATAGAGCTTTATTTTGGTGCTTTTTTATTTTTTCTTAAACAAACCAAAAACCACAGAAATTTTTTGTTAGTTTTTGTTATAAAATTTTGTAAATAAGTGATTTTTCTCCTTCACTGATATGCGCTAATGAGGCTGCAGTGATGGGCACTGATAGGCTGCACTGATGGACACTGATAGGTGGCACTGATGGGCATGATGAGGAGGCACTGGTAGGTGGCAGTGATGGGAATTGACAGGCATCACTGATGGGCACTGAAAGACAGCACTGATATATGGCACTGATATATGGCACTGATAGGCGGCACTGACTGGTACTGATAGGCGTCACTGATGCGCACTGATAGACGGCACTGGCTGGCACTGATAGGCGGCACTGACTGGCACTGTTAGGTGGCACTGATTGGCATCACTGATAGGTTGCACTGATTGGCATTGATAGGTGACACTGAAAGGCAGCTCAGATGGGCACTGATATGTGGCATTGATGTGCACTGGTAGGCACCGATATGTGGCATTGATGTGGCACTGATGGGCACTGGCACGACGCACTGATGAGCACTGACACAAGGCACTGATGGATACTGACAGGTGGCGCTGCTGGGGCCACACTGATCATCAGGGCACACTGATCATCAGTGCCCTGATGATCAGTGTACATGTCCCCTCCGCGGAAAGCCGATTACCGGCTCTCCTCTACTCTCGAGCCGTCAGCGTGACAGCTCGAGAGGAGAGAAATGCCGATAACCGGCATTTCCCTATTTACATGTGATCAGCTGTGATTGGACACAGCTGATCACATGACCGAGCCAACATCTTCGGCTCTTTCCATGATCAGTGATCCGCTGTGTCCAAGGGACACAGAGCACCGCCGATCGCCACGCTGCGCGCTCCCTCAGCCGCGCATGCGCGGTGAGAATGGGAGGACGTCATATGACATCCTCCCAGAACGAGAGGAGAACCACCTTGTGTCCGTCATATTACTATATGGCGGGCGGTGGTTAAAGCCATGGGAGTTTATCAAGTGACCAAGGGAGGAGGTGTAGATGGAGAGAAGAGAAGGGGTCCAAGGACAGAACCTTGAGGGACCCCTACAGAAAGAGGAAGTGGAGAGGAGGAGACAGAGTTATAGGTAATGCTGAAGGAGCGCTGTGATAGGTAGCAGGAGAACCAGGAGAGAGAAGAGTCTCGAAGGCCAAGAAAGCAGAGTTTTTTGAGGAGGAGGGGATGGTCAACAGTATCAAAAGCTGCAGAAAGGTAAGGTCTGGGAGGATTGGTCATTCCCAAGCTATGTGTGTGATCTGAGTGACACTGCCCCCCTCCTGTCCAGTTGCCCCCCCCCCCCCCACATGTCACACTGCAGTGAGACAGGAGGGGGGCATCGGGACAGGAAGTGGGGCAGCAGGACAGGTGGGGAGAACAGGAAATGGGGCAGCAGGACAAATGGGAGCAGTGGGAAGTGGGACAGGCGGGGGACAGTGAGACAGGAGGAGGGGGCAGCGAAATTGGAGGAGGGCAGTTGGGCAGAAGGGGGGCAGCAGGACAGGAGGAGGGCAGTGGGACAGGTGGGGGCAGTGGGACAGGTTGGGTTCCTTAACACTGACACCATCTAGAGGAGCTGCTGCAGTGTGATTTTATTTAATTTTCATAAACATTTTCTTTTGTTAAATACTTAAACCATACAGTAGTAACATTGTACTACTCGGGGGGGGGGGGGGGGAGGGTAACTATCCGTCATCTAAAAGGCACTGCCCTTCTTTTGAGACCCAATCCCTCTGTCCCTCTTGCAGCCTCAGTTGTCCATACTTCTGGTCTAATGTGTACATCTCATCTCACAAAATATACTATTTTACTGTAAAAAAAAGTGTTATGCTGCATCAAACTTTATATGTGACATCTATATTGCTGAATCTATTATTATGTGGTTTAGCTAATCACTTTATGTATATTAGGTCTTGGCAGTCTGCGTAACCAGGGCTGTGACAGAGACACACCCTTTACCTGCGCATACTGTGTACTAAGAGGTCTTGGAGGACGCGGAAGATGTCCCTCTTTATCATTTCAGAAAGTTGGGAAAGTTGTCTTCTGCTTTTGATAAAAGACAAAAAAGGTTGAGTATCCAATAGTATGTATACATACAGCCAAAAAAATAAAGTGAGTTTAAAGCTCTTTTGGCTATACTTCTACAGATCACAGGAGTGCACTTAGTTCTTCGCTTTTCATTTTGAGCTGGCTAAAGCCTGCTGTCAGCTGATGTCACTCAGCTTGACCAGGCTCTGGAAAGACCTCAACTTTACTGTCGGGATCCACCCAAACTCCTGACCGGCAGCTGGCTCAGCCTCTTGGCAAGCTGCTGAGAGCCTGAGCCAGCCACTCCCGTCCCCTCCGAAGTCTGATACTTCAGTGAGCTCTGGAGCGGCGGCAGAGCAGAGAGCCATAGACTGACAGTCACCAGCTCTTTACTCAGTGAAGAATGAGAACTGAGCGATCAAGTCTTTGACCGCTCAGTTCTTGGTATTAGAGGAGGCAGAGGACAGATGCAGTATTGTACCTACAGAATGCTGCATCCACCCAGGTGATCAGGACTTGTTGTCCTTTCCCAAACTTCTCTTTTAACTGTACCCAAAAAAAACTTCAAATTCAGCTTTTTAAACTAAAAAAAAAACAAAACAAAAACAAAAAACCCCCAAAACGTACTATTTACAAAAAAAGCTGCAAATTGGTCTAATAAGATGTTACTTAACATAGTCAGTAAACCTTGGCTGCACATGAATGATATGTCATAAGCTTCCTTGTAGTCTTATATACTCTTCTCTCCCCTATTCCATGCTTACTCCTTCAATTTTATTGGTCCCCCTTCCTTTTTTCCCATGTGCAAGCATCTAGCTGTATCATATGCTGGCAACATCTGTAAATTAAAAAGCTAACTAGTTTCATTGTCAAACTACACTTAACGAGTCAAAGCAATATCTAAATGGATGGGACGATTTACAGTTGTCCATGCCTCTTTGTGCTATAAAAATTAATTATTAGGAGTAAATCAAATATATTTTCCTACAGTACTGTACACATAATGCATGTTTCTATGTTATGGAAGTGGTGTTCTACTGCCCTCACATGGAAAAACAACATACTACAGCTTCTGCTGCTGGAGAGACAACCTTTATCAAACAGTAAAAACAAATATTCATTTACAAACACACATGATGCAGTATATTGGTTTAACATAATAGACTAAAAGCTGACATTTGAACATTTGCCTCAGTAATTCTTATTACTATTTCATTACAACAATGATGTGGCAATCGTAAAGTTTCTAAACAAACATTCATTTTCTTTAGCCTCAAATGTGCATCTATCTAGGGAAACCTCCACCTAAAAAACTGTACTTTGAGCATCTCCATCAGCTCATTCTGCACAGCTATTACCTTTTGTGTCATTTTCCCCTCCCTTTTAGATTGTAAACTCCAGGAGCAGGGCCTTCCTAATCCTCTTGTATTGAATTATATTGTATCTATTCTGACTCCCTCTATATTCTACAGAGCTGTGCAAGCAGAGGGCAAATGTGAATTGCGTAATATTGGGACGGAGGAGAAGGGTAATGTGTAAGGCTGTTGGTGCTGTATAAATCATGTATAATAATGATAATGAGTTAGGTACAGCCAGTTTGGTGAGGTCCTCATAAGAAGTGAGGTGTATTATTAATTTGTCTCTGCACGATTTAGAATAGACAGGACTTGGATGAACTATTCCCAAGTAGTTTTTTCCCCATACAAAGTGAAAGTGCTTTACCACTGCTCTGACCTTTTAATATTGTTCAAACTTTTATCTGCGTATTTATAACTTAAAAAAATACAAAAAACCTAAAAAAGAAAGCGCCAACCAATAATATCACCCTTCTGCAGCAGCAAACCTCTAACCCAAAAGATTGGTGAAAAATGAAAAATCAAAATTCGGAATGCGCTAAATTATATCAAACAAATAAATTAATTTGTGTACAAAAGTCCAAAACATCCTAAAATGCAAAAAAACTCCAGTGAAACAATCCATAAATAAGTGTAGAAAAATGTGTAGAAACAAATGTCCAACACCCCAAGCGAAATTTCTTCTTAAACATATAAGTGCAACCGTGCTTAATCCACCACCAAATGAATGGAATAAACTCACCAGAGCTCAATGCTGATCAAATTATAAATCAGCACAAGCGTGTTTGCTCTGAGAGTGATGAGAGAAGACAGATCATGAAGCAACACTCTGTAGCATGGACACATCCAGATACCAGGAGCAATACTCTGCAGTCGAAACTTTGAAGTATGGCCAGGACTCCTTATATAGCGATCATCCTCCAAATATATAGTAATACCACTCAAAAATATAAAGGAAAGGCATGATGGTGCAGTAAGTAAAAACCATTTAGCTTTATTGCATTCTCATCCTACTCACAAAGTTAAGTGTCCACCTGACATGGTATAACAAGCGATCAGATACAAGGAATGGACGAGCCCCGTTCACCGCGGACACCTCGCCGACAGCTCCAGGGAACGTCCTGACGTCATCCAATAGGCTCCGCCTCTGGAGCTCTGGGCGGAGCCTATTGGATGACGTCAGGACGTTCCCTGGACTCCTGTTTCTTTGATTAGAGGAGGCAGAGGACAGATGCCTATCAGCTGTCGGCGAGGTGTCCGCGGTGAACGGGGGTCGTCCATTCCTTGTATCTGATCGCTTGTTATACCAGTGTCAGGTGGACACTTAACTTTGTGAGTAGGATGAGATTGCAATAAAGCTAAATGGTTTTTACTTACTGCACCATCATGCCTTTCCTTTTTTTTGAGTGGTATTACTATATATTTGGAGGATGATCGCTATATAAGGAGTCCTGGCCATACTTCAAAGTTACTGCAGAGTATTGCTTATGGTATCTGGATGTGTCCATGCTACAGAGTGTTGCTTCATGATCTGTCTTCTCTCATCGCTCCCAGAGCAAACACAGCTTGTGCTGATTTATAATTTGATCAGCATTGAGCTCTGGTGAGTTTATTCCATTCATTTGGTGGTGGTTTTAAGCACGGTGCACTTATATGTTTAAGAAGAAATTTCGCTTGGGGTGTTGGACATTTGTTTCTACACATTTTTCTACACTTATTTATGGATTGTTTCACTGGAGATTTTTTTGCATTTTAGGATGTTTTGGACTTTTTGTACACAAATTAATTTATTTGTTTGATATAATTTAGCGCATTCCGAATTTTGATTTTTCGTATTTATAACTTAACCCAAATAATGATATGAAGGGTGTGCACAATTAGAAATGTAAACAATTTTTGATTCTATCAGCTAAGAGACATGAGTGAACTCTGAAAAATCTGCTGTGTTTGATCTTTGGTATAATTTGTGATTTTTGTGGATTTTCCCATTAAATCTCACAGACCTAAAATGAGGATTTTTCATGGGGAAAAAAAAAAGAGAGAATGTTTCCTTTTGCATTTGGAAACTCATCCTACACTCTTGCATTATACCATATCTAGAGAGATTTCCAAATGAAATATAGTGTGAAAATAGTCCAATTTTTACTGTTCATTTTTTAATTTTTACAATTTCCTTTTTTGGGACCATTGTTTTGCAAGCCTCAACATGCATGCTGAGAGTGACTAACAATACAGTGTCATTCATTTTGAATAGCACCCCAATGCACCAAAAAATGCACCTCCAACACACCTGCATTTCAACGTTCCACAATGCATGGTAACACAATATAGTGTGTAGGCAAAAATGGTGCAGGTGTGATTTTAGGCCCTTTATGTTAACACA